AAAGGGTGTAGAATAACATCCCTATATATATATATATATATATATATATTAAAAGAACAACCAATAATGATAAGGTGGATTCATATATCAAATGTAATATTGATTCTTATTAATTTGATATATAAATATAATCATCGATTCATTTAGCTAACTTCAGTAATTTTAAAAAAGATTATTGTCACTCAAACACTAGTTTCTATTAAAATAATAACCGGAACCATAAATATTTAAATTCAATTTAAAATAACAATTAAATTTAATTGCATTTCTTGGAAAAGAGTTGGTTTATGACGAAACCCATTTGAAGTAAATTTGGGGGTAGGCGTGTAGCCATGGAGTAGAACATGAGTTCGTTGGTACCCATTTGTAAAGGTTCAATTGAACCTTTCTGTCAGCATATGCTGTTTCTCTACCCACCGTAGCTTCCTTCAATCAATCCTTTCCCATTTCCTCGATCTGTTCCATAACCTGAATTAGGGTTTGTATTCCAGTTAAATCACTATATCTCACTGCTTGTGAATTTCTTCCACAATCAATGGCTTGTTGTTCAATTCAATCCATGGTTCCTTCAATTTCTGGTCTCTCTTCTTCATCTTTCTCTTATTCTTCTGTAATTGTGTTGCGTGTCAACTGTGCAAAGTTCTCAAATATAAATCTCAAGAAAATTGGTAAGAAATTTGAAGTTTGCAGAGCAATGGTGCAGCAGAGTACGGTACAGGGAGCTTCTGCTGCTTATGCTAAGGAAATGGAGAGACTCTCTGCCAAAGAATCGTTACTTCTCGCTGTCAGTTTTCGAGAACCTACTTCTTTTGGTTTCTTTAATTTCGAGGATTGAACTTTGATAATTGTATGCATAAGTATTTGGGTTTATAATTTCATGATTTTATATGGCTACAGTCTCTAGGATTATTATCTAATTGGGTTATGCATAATTGTGAAGATCAATTGTTTGGCAATTGATACTTTGCTTATGGATATGGTAGAGAAAAGGGTCTTCCTGGTCCTCAAGGCTACACTTATTTGTCCACAGGCTTTTCCCTTGCATTTTGCAAAGAGGAAGTTTTATAGGTTGCTCCAATGCTTTGCCCTTCTAAATGTTTTTTTTTCTTCCATTTAGAATGATGAGTAAACATAGACAAGAAAGCAACAATCAAACATCCAAGAAAAAAATGCAAAAATGGGAAGACCCTTTTCAAACATCAAATGTGATGATGGAGATTTGAAGGTCATCTCTTTATGAGCTTGACAATTCTATATGCCTAAAAAAATGCAAAACACAATTTGGAAGAAGAGGATATTTCAAAAATCTTGTATGTGGCAATCAAGTTGCAAAATCAGTACTTTGTATGTATGATAGGAACAGGAAAATATGAAGCATATACAGTGTGATTCTAGTAAACTATTAACCAATTACCTGTAAAGGGTAACCAATAATTTATGGATTAAGTGATTGGGTTTCTTTTGTCATATAATTTTTCATTGTTTTTCTTGTTTGTGGCTCCACACACACATATGCCAGAGTAATCTTTTGACATTTTTTTAAAAACAAAATTTATTGGGATGTATTACAAATATAGTGGCTGCAACACTTTTGAAGTAATTTCATCGTCAATTTAGGATATGCATGTATATAGTCTTTGTGTCTTCCACAGTTCCATTAGGTAGAGATTTATGTTTGATTAAAAGATCGAGCCAAAATCTGGCAGAAGCTATTCCAAATGTAATCCTGTTATCATGATATATATATATATATATATATATATATATATTGATATTGGCAGAGGCTCAATCAGAAATTTTATCAAGTTCTTTGCAAAAACACTTGAAATGAACTTCTTTTAAGATATAAAGTAGAGCTTTTCCAAACGTTGAGGAGAGTTGGGCCTCTTGATTGCCAATCTTCAGCTGAAGAAATTTGACTCCTGTTCCTATGAAGAGTTGGTGGCTCGGTATTTTGTTTAGAACGCAGAAATAATTATCACCAAAATTTTCAAATGATATACATCTAGTTGAATGTTGCTAATTCCAGGTAATAATATACTGCTCGAGTGAGAAACTTAGCAAAACCACTACAACTTACTCCCTACATACCACCAAAAGAGTCTACATTACCAAAGGGTCTTTGGCCTAGCGGTATCGTAGTCTTTGGCTTCCTAGGAGGTCAGGGGTTCAAACCTCACCACATGTGAGGAGGGTGTGTGAGTTTACTTGTTGCATTTGCAGTATATAAATATTATATACTTCAAACAAAAAGAGAGTCTACATTCCTTCTTTAAGTGTCAAATGGAGTACATTTTCTGTTCAGGACTGGTATGATTAATCTAAATAATAAAAAATTAGAAATTATACCTAGAAGCTTTGGAAGTACCATGATAATTTATCATGCTAAATACATAATAACATTCATATCAAATTTGGATTAGAAAAGTATCTGTTTTGGCATTCAAAGATCAAATGTTGTCTCTTCTATTAACTAGAGGTGGTATTAGAATTAGTGGGCTTATGGTTGCTAACAGCAAATCTAGTATAAAGAATTGAACTTCATTGTTCATTGCTATAGACCAAGTCTATCCCAATATTGTCAATTTTGATACAAAATTTAACCGACATGAATGAAATGGTTAGGTCTTATTTCACAGTGCTTTTTTGTTTTTGTTTTTGCATTTACATTTAAAAAAGTGAAAACCAGGCAAAGAAACAGTGATCGGCAAACGTTTATGCTTTGAGCAAACCAAAATCAGTTTGAATGAGGTGGAGTTCTGATACCTAGTAGAACACAGTTTCTATTTTTGATTTAATATCTTTATGTTATTTCTTTTTGTTGAAAGGAACAGTTTTGTTAAAAACATTGTCATTTTGGTTTCAAAGAAAAATCACAACTTTGTTCACATTACAATGAATGTGAACAGAAAATAGAAATCGTAAGTGTTACCAAATGAAACCGTAACTTTTCCAAGTCACATTTTTAGTCATCTTGCTTTATCAAGGTCCTTTTTGTTACACTCATGCGTGGGCCTTAGAGGAGTTCAATAAATATATAAATAAATAAATCATTTATGCCCTATATACAGGGGATTAATCCAATTATTAGGCAGACATAAAATTTGTTTGTTAAGTCTCTTGGTAGTATTCTAGGGTTTGGGGATGGTAGGCCTCTCAGAAGACGGCCTACCGTTGTATTTTGTTTTCATCATCAATTTAATTCATTAAAAAGTATCAGGTCAAATTGGGGGGGGGGGGAGGAATGTTAGACTAATGCATGGGTCTTAGCGCAATATAATATTACATATATAGAGTCAAGTTCATACGAGAACAATAGCCAAATAAGAACAAATGAAAACGGCCGAATCACATGTGATTTTACACTAAAACCATGTGTAAAATGACCCAGGCCACCCGCTCACTCTTGCTTTGACCGTGTTCCATAATCACACATAAAATCCCATATGATTTGGCCATCTTCTTGTTTTCTTATTTTGACCCTGTTTTCATTTGATCCTTCCTTTCTCTCTCTCTCTCTCTCTTTATATATATATATATATATATATATATATATATATATATATATAGAGCTTGGTTCAAATNTCTCTCTCTTTATATATATATATATATATATATATATATATATATATATATATAGAGCTTGGTTCAAATACTAACCAAGAAATTTGTGTTAACTATACTAACCAAGCCTAACCAATTATATATATATATATATATATAGGGTTGGGTTCAGGTAGGAACTTGAAAATTCATGGGAATCGTAGGAACCACCTTAACACATAGTAACACACCTTACTATGTGTAAGGTGTGTTTAGGCATGTTACTATGTGTTAAGGTGTGTTAGTTCGATGGCAATGATCTATGGCAATGATCAGGGCCTGACACGAAGCGTAACATATGTTAATCTCCATGAAATACGTTAACGCATATGACATATTCGATCTTATTATACATTAACATACCATAACAATCCTGAACATTCATGCATATGTGTTAGCATACCCCACAATCGTAACATATATGAACATGAAAACATATTAACACACTTAACCTGCAATCTTAAATCACTTTAATGCAATCTTAACACACTTTAAGTCATGTTAGCACACATTAACCAAGAAAACGTTAGCACACCTTAACACATAGTAACACACCTTACTACATGTAAAGGTATGTTACTATGTGTTAAGATGGTTCCTACGGTTCCTATGGATTTTCAAGTTCCTACCCGATCCCGAATATATATGTATATGTGTGTGTGTATATATATATATATATATATATATATATATGAATCAAGGGGATGGAACCCCTTGGAAAAAATAACCCAATTTAATATTTAGGGTTTAATAAATAAGGAAATTGTTTATTGAAATACATGGGATAACCAAATCATTAGTTAGTAAGAAAAATACGTTTGTTAAGTCTATAAGCAGTTTCTAGTTTGACGGCTAACCTCTCGAAAGTAGGCCAAGTGTTGCAGTTTGTTTTTATCCTTGTTTTTAATTCAATAAATGGGTCCTATCAAATTGGTACCAAAGCATCTTGTTCTGGGACCAATGGCAGCAAAGAAAGCCGACGAGTTGAAAGAGAAGCTTGGAGTGGAAATTGGGGAGGTGAAATCCATGATGTTGGCTTAGTTTGCCAGAATGGATGAACAATGTGCTTCAACGGAGGAGTTGCAATGTAAACTGTAAAATTGTTTAGATGCAAATAAATCAGGCTGGAGTGGCAGGCAAAACGGGGCTGAGAGAAGGGAACAATATTCCTTCAGATTCGCTGGGAAAGGTGGAGCAGGGCATGGGGATGGCAAAAGCTGTGACAAAGGAAAACGAGCGGTGATCATGAATGGTGACATTGGTGGCTGAGATGGGATGTTGTCTGGGGCAATGGCAAAGGCAAAAGTCACAGCTCCAGGGTAACGGCTGGGTATTTGCATGGAGTGAAGGTGTTGCTGGAAGGACAGTGGTGGTAGAGGCAGTAGCATTGATGCACGGTGAGTGCTGTATGGAGTGACAGAAGTGGCGTATGGCAGTTATTTTTGAAGGGCCTATCGTGACAGCCACTGGGTGTCACGGAGGGACAATGAATATGGGAAGCTGGTCGCTGCATAGGGGAACAACGGGAATGGTTGGTGGAGTCGATATCAGGAAGCAAAAGGTTAAAAGGGGTGGTGGGGTGGACAAATTTACTGGAATGAGGATCCTGTTCGGTTCATTTAGAGCATCTCCAATGGGAGTTTTTTATAAGCAAAAAAGTCACTACCGTTGGAGAGAGTTTTTATAAGGCATCCAGATTTTTGGAGTTCTAGTACAAGAACCTTGGTTCTTATCTTTTGTGTGAAACGACATTATTTTAGTTTTTATATATTCTATATTTATTAATTATTATAAAGATTTAATAATTATTGATATTGAAAAATACATGGGACCCACAAAAGGGGTTCTTAATTTAGTGAGTTGGCAATGATGTGGCAAGAAAAAGTACAAGAAGTGGGTTCTTATAAGTCAGTCCATTGGAGATGCCCATATGGGACAGATTTGATTTAGGGTCCAAATAAGGTAAATAAAACTGATCGTGGGTCAAATGGAAGGTTCAATTTTGGCTCAAGGAGAGATCTAATGCTGAGAAATTTTGATAAGGTCTGAGAATTACATACGCCAATCGTCCTCTTTACACCGATGACTATGATGGAGGACTTAGGGACTGGGGCAAGGGAAACTTGGATCCTGAAATTGCTTGTGATTGACCAAGACAAAATTTCTATATTAACACCTTGAAGATATAGGGGACATTTGGTTTGATGGAATGGTTTTGAGAGATTTGGATTTCGTGGAAGGATTTGGAATTTGAAGGATTTAGATTTGGAATCGTTGGTGTGCAGGATTTGGAATGGAATTGAATTCCATTATTTAGAAAATAATTATAAAAATAATTAAATTACTTTTTTATTAATTGATTATTACAAAACAAATGTTTTAACATATTTTAAACCATTATTATATACAAATCCTATGAAATCCCATGAAATACCAACCCCATGGGATTTCAAATCCATGAAATCTTTCAAACAAAACATTGGATTGGAATGGAATTCAATTCCAAATCCCTCCAAATCCAATCCCGCAAGCAAACGGGACCACAATGTCTTTTTGGGAGGTGAGTAATATTAAACTCATGTGTGTGCCTTAGCCAAGTTCGGAATTGATCGGCATATTTCTTGAAACAAACGAAAAGGAAAGGGAATTGTAAACTCTATTATGATCGTCCCTCATTGGCATTCCGCAGATTCCGGGTTTAATGAACAAGGAAATGGTTTATTATATTTATGGGATTAACCTCATTAGGTATGCAGAAAATTTGTTTGTTAAGTCTATTTGTAATATTCTAGGATTGTGGGGTAGATGGGTGACCTCTCAAATTGCATTTTATTTTGACCATCAATGTAATTCGATAAAAAGTATCGGGTTTTATCACTCTTTGAAGTACATTACTACCTATCTTTTTTCTACAATAAATCTCATACAAGTCTACAAGATATTCAAAACAATATCCAACACTTGAAAATCGAAGGTTTCTTCAAATATTGAATTTTTTATTTTAGTTCAAAGATGCTGGAGGATTTGAGGCACTACTTGCTGGAAGGACTTCAGCTATGCAAAAAATTGACGTGAATGAAAGAATAGTTGGTCTTGAACGGCTTAATCCAACACCTCGTCCAACGACGTAAGTGTTTGTCTGAATGAACGTGTAATCATTTATCTGGATGGTATTCATTAGTGTCTTTACCTTTCCAGGTCTCCATTTCTGGAAGGGCGATGGAACTTTGAGTGGATTGGATATGGAAGCCCTGGATTATTTGTGGCCAGATTATTATCCGAGTATGTGCTTTCTGATTGCTTAATTAATCAGTTCTGCTAATGTTCATGAATCCTTGTTTAAAACAAACTTCTACTATTATGCAATATGTATGCTATTGAGAGCCTCTAATGAGAAACTGGAGAACAAGAAATACTTGGGGAAAATTGACAGGGATGGTTTATGAAGATAGACAAATGGTCCCATTTCTGCAAGAAGGAAGTTTACTACTAAAAGTTCAAGTTAGCTTGCTGCCTCATCTGCTATCTGTCACTCTTCAATGGCCATCCTAGTTTGATATGTATCATTATCATAAGCATTACATTTTAAATTTCTGCATGTATGAGAAATAATCAAGTTTTCACTTAGCTAAACAAGAAATGAGGAAACCCAAATATGATAACTTGACGGTTATCCTTGTGAAGTCATTTGTTTTGCCAAAGCAATATAACATGTTCTACTCCCATAACCAATGAAGGCAGGAATGCCAGGAAGTTTCATTCTTCTTTGAAGTTATAAATATGCAACAAAAATTGTTCTTGCTTACGGTTATTTGTTGAACTCTTAAAAATTGATCCTGAGTTTGGTGCATTACATAGTTCCATTAATGGCTTATTGCTCATTTGCCAGTGAATCTTTTTCAAAATTTGCAGGAGATTTCCTGCAACCTTAGCGAATTTGTATAAGATGGATTTGGTGATTAAGGACGGATATGCGAAGATTACTGCGAACATGAAATTTCTGAATGCGGTAATATATTTGAAGACTCTTTCAGTATAGAGTGGTAGAAAAAATGAAACTTTATTTCACCCTGGAACTACAAAAGGGTCTAAGAAGACTTCCAACATATTTGTTGACAATAATGTCCCTGCCTGTTAAATATTTCATCCTAGTTCTCTTAGAAAAGCTGATCTGGGGTTTTCTTCCACTTACATAATTTAGATAACAATTTTTGTGTAAACTACCCCCCCCCCCCCCCCCCCCCCCCGGGGGGGGGGGTATGTGCTTTTGTTGGAAATTGAAGGAGATTTAAGGGGAAAAAAGAAATGACATTACTGTGTAAATGTGTATTGTCTTCATTTTTTTCCTTCAGTTCTTATTCGAGTGTTTTAGCATTGATGACAGTTTTGTTACCATATGGTCTCCTTGCCTACGATATATATTTTCACTTTGGCAATTCCATGAAGTAGTTTCGTGGTAATGAGTTTGGAATTGTGAAATGAATAAATTTGAAATTATGAAGGCATTGTTAAGATCATTAAATAACTGTGAGGAGATAGTATCCTTCTGACTCTGCCATATAATGATCTGAACATCCGCCAAAGGCCATGGCAAAGCACATTTCCCTTTGGTCGATTTAACGGGCACTAACGAAAACCGATGGCAATAATAATGATTTTCATTGTTAAAATACCTTTTAAAGCCTTAAAACACTAGTATATTTTGGGTTTCTAATGCTGGAGACATGACACAATAAGATCTTGATTTTGAAAATTCAAGTTTTCTTTTTCCTCGATTTTATTACATGGTTTTTATTAACTACTACTAGATTTATCATCGTTCATTTTGTCAGCAAGGTTATTTCACTAATTACTGTAGTAAAATCCAAGGAGACTGAACCCGAGACCTTTTGCTACCATATTATTACATTACGAGTATTTTTGGGCAGTGCAGAAATAAAATGTATCTTGTTGATATGCAGATTGAAAACAAGTTCATATTAAGTACAAAGTTAACAGTGGAAGGTCCACTTAGAATAAAGGAAGAATATACAGAAGGAGTGCTTGAAACTCCAACAGTTGATGAAGGAACAATCCCACAACAACTAAGAGACGCGTTTGGCCAAGCAGTTAACACCGTGCAACAACTTCCAGCTCCAATTAAGGATGCTGTCTCCAGTGGATTGAAAATTCCCCTCAGTGAGTTTTCTTTTTTCTATCTCTTGATCTTATTTGCTAGTCACTTGAGATTTCTCTCAAGTTTTATCTCCTTGTTTTCTGACTAAGCATTTCTTTCCATCCTTTGACGATGCTGCCTTTCAATAATAAGCAGGAAAATGTTTGGTTTCATAATTTCCACAAGCTTCTTTTGGGTGCCTAAAATAAATGTGATTTCGATCAAGCTAAAGATATTATGCATCGTATGTAGCTTGTATGCCAGAAGTAATGTTCATAGTTGTCTTGAAGCACCCAGTTTCAGCCTAATGGTCACTATGCTCTGCAAATATACGTTTGACTCTCTACAGTGTCCAAATAATTGCAATTGTTTCCTTCAGTTTTATGCATTTGCTGTTGATGATGAAGGCGGCAGCTCCATAAAAGACATTCCAAAAACATTGATGTATTAAGATCTAAACATTGATGCCAGTTAGGTAAACTTGTACTAATATCAAGTTTCAAATCCATGACACCAATATTGAGCCACAAAATTTCCATTAAGAAAGTAAATCCTTCTCTATCATTCATACATATGTAGAAAGAAAGAAAAGGAAATATGCTTCAAGGATTTTAAAATAACATTTCTTTTCAAAGAGAAAAAAATGAAAGAACATTTATTGCAAATAGACCAAGCAAGGCAGTGAACTAAGGGTACAGATTATTATATAGCTGTTGCGCCTACATAGCCGATAATCTACTCTGGTTTAGGGTGGTTCAACTCTCACAGTGATTTAATGTTAGGATGAAGATGAGATGAGCCAATACCTTGTGCTAAACACCATCTATAAATGTTAGGGTGGCAAATGGCAATCCATCCTGAGTTGTAACTGCATGATACCATAAATTATTAATGTCATATTTTACATATCTTTACTTTAGCGAAGAAGATATAAGTATTACTCGAGTATCCATGTCATAAGGAAGTCTATACCAAGCCCTTCATCTATTTTGTCAGTTTGAATTTATGAAAAGGTATATTTAGATATTTGACAAATGGTTAAACAAACAATTTCCTTAAACTATGTGTCAAATCAAAGGTTTCCATTTTCATTGAACGGATAAGTAGTTTTTATCCAAGTATCTTGGGTATCTAGTTGGTTGTTGACTCGTTAAATATATACTTGCCATTTGATTTCATGTTTTGATGTATACTCAGCTTTGATTCCAAGTAATTTGCTGGAGGGATTTGTTCAAGTGTTTATTTGATTTGATTGTCGGAATTTAGGGTTGGTTTTATTATGCCATCAGATCGTAGAGTTGTCAGCTGTTTATGCCAAAAAAAGGATAATCTAGGAACATCAAATTCTCTTGATGTTTAAGTTTTCATGACTTTGTAGATTGTTAAACTTTAGAGCGCTTCATGCATATATAAACTTTATTCATTTATTCTGTTTACTGTTTTTGTCGGGGATGAGCCTTTTAGCGACTAGTAAGGCCATATTTAGTCCTGAGTTACCGAAACATCTTTGCAAAATGCAAGAAGAAGATTGTACAAAAAGTTCACTTTTCGACTCTTACTCCAATTCTCACACAGCCAAAGAGGCTTGTTTATTTTCTGAACAATTATATATTTAGGTTGGTATTTGTAACCAAAGAAGAAAGGGAAAAATGGTGTTATTTGAGTTTTATTTCTGACTCTGTGCTGTCTTATTGCTTCAGATGGGGCTTTTGAGAGGATGTTTATGATTTCCTACCTTGATGAAGAGATCCTAGTAAGCCATTCTCATGCATGCATGTAATTAAATTTTTGAAGATCGATATCTACTAATTATATATTTACGATGAATTGGTTCAGATAATAAGAGACACAACCGGGGTCCCAGAAGTTCTTACAAGATTGGATTCAGCTCAGTCTCCCATCGAGCCCATTGAAGAGTACGAGAGTTGACCAAGTCAAAACAAACATGTAAGGATTTATTTCTCAAACTGAAAAAAATATGATAAAATCATCCTAAGCACAATCCTTTTCCACATCTTGGTTTACTTCTGTTATATTGAAGTATTGGGTCATGCATGAAATTCATTGACTTTTCACTCTTACCAAATGCAGAAGTCAAATTGAGTTGAAATTTGTGTTTAATTATGGTTTATGTTAACCGTGTTTAAACGTCTACAATACGATGTTAATTGATTCGTTAACTGCTAACGATTTGAGTGATGAAGTAAGTGCATATGAAACATGATTTAAGTATGTGTGGTGATAAATTCAAATGTAGATAATGGTTATTAATGGACCCTTTATTGGCATGACATGGTCATTACTACTTTGGGCCATCAATATGTAGATTTTTATCATTAGATTTATTTAAAGTCATACTACCATGAATACGTGTGCGATGGTGGATTCATAAATTTTTTCAAATGATAAAGACTATTTGATTATAAGAAATAAATTTATAGAATTTTTTCGCAAAATCATTACAGGTTTGTTGGTTTTGAGAGAGAATTGCAAGGCCAAAAAAAAAATACTAGCATAAAATGTCATACATTTTATATGGATGTGAGAGGTATGGCCTAATCATCACCATGTTTCTACCATGCTTGAGTGTAAACTTTCATACATCATCACTCTCTTACAAAGTCCATCCCTAGTCATCTTTATTTATGTCCAATATAAATAATATATGATTTTATTTAATCAGATTAAATTGATACTAATCAGATATGATAATTAAACATTTTAATTATTGAAACTTCATATTCGAATATGTTCAAAGCGTGTGACCCAATGAGTTTTCGATATGTTGGTAGTAAATATAAATCTCATATTTATAGTTATAAACAATAAACGGTATCTAACAATACATCAACGTTACCCAAATGACGAGAATTGCTGATACAACAAATTATCGGTTTGTAGTCAATTTTAGTTTACACATTAATTCTTTTGTCCTTGACGTCTAGATTGAACACAAGACATTGAAACAAAGGGATTATTTAAATAACGTCTACATCGGAAAAAGACTGAAATAACATTACAAAAGAGAAACATTGATAGTGTTGAATGTATCTAGCATTTAGAAGATACGAGGCCAAATGTGCTACTAATAGACAAAGATCAACGGTTGATATGAGATAAAAAATAATCATTATAACAAAATGCTCTATTTAGACCAATGACAGAACACAAGTATCTTAATTTCGGGGGCCGAAAAATTAGATTACAAAACTCAAGGACTTAAAAAAACAGCAATATAAAATCATTTGTTTGTAAAAAACACCCTACAATATTTTCTAACCAAATATCTTGCTACATTTATTTAATTGTGGGAGTATGATTAGAGATGTATTTACATACTTCACATAATAATTTTTTTTATTAACCTGGATATCCAACCCGCTATGTGAGTCGACTAATTCTAAGACGACCACCTGTTTTGCAGATAGTCCAGAGTCACCACATAATAATTTAATGTCACAATTTAAAGAAAGATTATACATAATTTGTAAAAGACAAAATAGTTTCATACAAAATATATTGAGCGCCAATGAATAAATAATATGTAAAAGCAAAAACAATTTTAGTAAAAAGAAAAATATTGAGCATCAACGGTGTTTATGATTAATAATAAAGGGAAAAACATAAAAAAAACCCAATTCGGTAGTAACATAGGATTTGAACCACCGACCTCATGAAAGACCCAAGTACCAATAAGGCTAAAACATACGGGTCATGGCCCACTTTGGCCCTCGTGGTGTTCTACCACTGGTTGAGACACCCACGAGATGGTCAAATGGTGATCGGCCGAGGATTGGGTCCAACTTATGATCGGTCTAGGATTGACTGGGGACCGGTTTAGGATTGTGGTTAAAAATCAGTTACAGTTTTCGTCAAAAAAAAAAAAAAACAAGGCCCGGTTTGGACCGGGAACAACTCAAATTTTCAAAAAAATAGCTGTCTTATATATCTCCGTTGTCCAACGTTCATATAACCGTTTCTTTTTCCATTTTTGACCGCTTTTTTTGTCCGTACAATATGGATAAGATGTATCAGTGGATATCATTGATTCCATTAACGTCGTCATATTTCAAGGAACTCTTGCATCTCTGCATGCAAACCGCCCAATCACCCGACGACTAACACGTCTCACCACACCTGTCACTTCTGTCTTCCACGTGTCAATTACGTTCATGGCTTCCATTCCATAAATAACACTTGTTATTATACATGGAAGAAATATGCATTAATTTCTAGACCCATTGACGAGAAGAAAAACATATTGAACAAGCGAATCAAGGGAAAATTAAAGAGTTGGAATTAGGGTAATCCATTAAAGAATGCAGGCGGTGAAAGAAACGGCGGCGAACATCGCGGCGTCGGCGGTGTCGGGGCTGGACAAGACGCTGGCGGTGATAGATGAAAAGGTTGAGAAAATCAGTACAAGCGATCCAGTCGAAAAGGACATGGCTACATTAAGAAAAGAAGACAGGATCAGGATGGCTGAGCTCCGGAAACAACAGGCTTATTCTCAGAACGCTGCTGCCGCCTTTGGCGGTGGTGCTCCTGGTAGTCCGACCTACACCGCCGCTGGTAGTGGTCACCCAGAAAAAAACCCATTTCATATAACCAAGGCTGATGTTTCCAACGCAAATAAACCGGCGGAACAAACCACCACTGTACAATCGGCAATGCCAGCTACAGCGCAACCCACAAATTAGACACAATTGATGTCGAGCTAGCAATGATACGAGGATTGATGGGAGGAGGATGATCAACGATTGGTGTGAGAAAAAGAAGCTTAATTTGTTGTAACTTGTTTAAATGATGATTTTGCAGTTTCTTTGATGTCTTTATGTTTTTGTAATTTGTAATAATAAGAAACCAACAAATATGCAGGATGATTGCTGCGATATTTACAAATACTCTCTTCATGCGAAAGTAAAAACGATAACGGGTCGGGGGTATCCGGGATCCCGATTAAAATTCCATATCATCTTATATATCACCGAGTAATATGTCATTGATTTGAATTACCCACCAACTTTTGTGATGATTTTGTGACGAATCACCCGCGATAGATTTCTGACTTTTGTGATGGTTTTGTGACGAATCACTCTTTAGCGATATATTTCCCGGGAAAGTCTGTAGGTAAAAGTCTTTCATTTTGTGGTGGGTGGTGGCGACGATGATGAAGTTAGAAGATGGCCATGGCAGTGACAATGGCAACAACGATGGTGGTGGCGGCAACGATGAAGATAAAAGGCGGTGGCTATGAACGGCGACAGAATGGTGGTGGCGACACGGAGACAACAATATTGTTTGTAACACTTACTGAAGGTCATGTTTGGAAAAGATGAGCTAACTTATTTTTTGAGTTTATTTCAAAAGCCCCCATTTGGATGGTTAAAAGTAGCTTACACTAGAAAACCGAGGACTATCAGCGGCGGGAAAAACCGTCGCTAATCCGTTGACGTGCTCGGAACCGTGATAGTCCTTGGGCCAAAAAGTCGTGGGTGATGCTTTAGCGACGAATATTAACAACAAATTAACGATGGAGACCTTTAGCGATGATCGTTTATTAGCGATAGATGCATTAACGATTATAATTAATAACAAATAATCTTTAATTATAAATTATTAAAGAATGATTGATTTTAAATTAAAATAAAATAAAATTAATGAATAAAATTCATTAAAACCCAATAAAATTGAATAAAGCATAATAAGACATATAGACCAATAAAACTCATTAAAGCACAATTGATCTATTAAAGTCACTAAAATCTAGTAAAACCCAATACAACCAATTAAAGTCCAATAAAACTCAATAAAGCCTCATGAAACGCTTTAAAATCCAATAAAACCGAATAAAACATAATAAAATTGGATAAAACCCAATAAAACTTATCAAAGCCTAATTGATCCATTAAAGTCCACATAAATTCCCAATGAAATCCATAAAAGCTGATAATATTGAATAAAGCCTATGGGAACCATAAGAGTCCACTAAAATCCATTAAAACCCAATAAGTCCTAATAAAACCGAATAAAGACAATAGAACGGATTAAAGCCCAATAAAGTCCACATAAACTCGTTACACTCATTAAACCCCATTGGTCGCTAATCTAACTATCAAATGAGATGTCACTTATTACTTATTAGAGGTGGGAACAATTACGGATTCCTAACCTTGATTTAACAAGTCTCAACTCAATCAAAATCAACAAGTTTTACCTACTCATCACTAGAAATGAAAATATTAACTAAGCAAAGGAAATGTTGAACCTAATCCAAAATACCTAATAAGTGGAAGAAAAATACCAACAACTGATTTCCCAAATCTGTCTCCTTGGTTCTTTGATTTCATCCTCGTCTGATTCTAATCAGTTCCCTCCCAAAAGACGGTTCCATCGATCAAATCTATAGCCCACATCCAAAAACCGATTAAAACTTGAAATGAGGTCGCTGATGACTTGGACCACAGCTAAACCCGCCAGAAAAGTCACCCGATGTTGAATTGGGGTCGAAGATAGAGCGTCTAAGGGGCCGTTTACCAAATGCTTACTTGGGTAAGCGCTTACCAAGTTACATTACCTTATCGGATGAACATGGAAAAGACCATGAATCTTACCCGGTAAGAGCGAGACAAAGACCTAGAGTCTTACCCGGTAAGTGAGAGCAATAACTATTACAACGGTCATCTCTTATCAGATAATTCGTTGCATATAAAGCCGTTTTTTGTTGACTAAAATCTTACCCTGTAAATAATTGATAGTGTTGAATTTTACCGCTAGATGCTTGCCGAGTAAGTGTTTGGTAAACAACCTCTAAGACGGGTATTCGTAGTGAGCAATCTTGAAAGAGAAGTGGCATGGTAGACTTCTTGGGCCTGGGCTGTTTTTCCTCTTGTATCCTGCGACTACCAAAAGAAACCCAAAGACAACGAGAGGACTTAAAATTGAAATAAAAAGGGTGCGAGTTTTTTTTAACAAAATTTATTTGTATTCTCAGTCTATGTACTATTTGAGAAATATGCCCAAATCATATTCTCGGTCTATGTCTGATTTAACCGTTTTATGTTTATATGATAAAACTATTTTAATTCCCTAGGACTTGAGCATAACACTTTTTCTTATCGACATGTATATCAGGTTTGAGTGAGATTTGAGAGGTGTTTGGAGATATGTAGAGGAAACGTCATCCAGTTATGAAGATACCAAACTTGGTGGATTTATTAACAGTCGACTTATTCTGATTCTATTTGGGAATTAAATAGTCCGGTTTAGAACTCTGATACATTCCTTCTTCTCCTTCTTATGTAAACTATAAGCATTTTGTTATTTAAGTTATTTTATTTTGAATGAGTTTTAAAGTTGTATATTGTCTACTATTTTACAAATTTAGGAGTGTTACATAAATATATTGAATAATAATTAAAAAGTAGTAATATAATAATGATTGATATGATTAATATAATTTTAAATAATTAATAATTAATATATAACTAAAATTGATTAATAATTTTTAATTAATATTAATAAATATATAATAATAATTAATAGAAATAAATAACAATTAATATTAATCAAAATTATAATTGAGAAAAATGTCAAAAAAAATCCTAAAAAACTACTCCAACAGGTGTTTCAGTAAGTTATCTTATGTTCATTTAAACGTGTACTTAAATATCAAACTAGCTTATATTTGTCAAAGAATAATTTATCGGCTAGTTTGTCAAGCATAAACTAAATATAAGTAACGATTACTTCAACTTTAAGTGTCGAGACTACGATATCATTTAAAACACTCGCTTAAATTTTGGTATAATGATGGTGGTGATGGTGGCGACAATGGTAGTAGTGGTGGCAAAAATGTAGAATAAAAGTTATTTTATAAAAATCAAGCAAAACGACTAAAATATGCTTAACGTGACTAGCAAGAGAGAGCACTAAACAACTGCTCCTAACGATTGTCATTACACTGATGATATCTGTAATAAAATGCAAACCATATGGTCATCATGTAATTAAATCAAAAGACAAAAACCAAAGTTTCTTCAAACAATAAGCATCTCCAACAAATTCTCTAAAAATAGAGATTTTGAACGTATTTTTTTGGCCTTTTACCCCCAACAGATTCTCTAAACTTTTCTCCAATATGGAGAAAATAGAAAAGAAAATGTAAAAATCTCCAAATTCCGAGAACACCCCAATAATGATTACAACGAGAGAGAAATAATTTTTAATATTTAATTTCTTACCAATAAGAAACTTTGAAATAAAATTTGTAGACAGATAATATTTTATAAGGTGAATTATATATTCTCATAATAAAATCAATTTTACAATCTCCAAAATGAAGAATCTTTTGAAGTCCCAATATATTTTTCTTTTAGAGATTTTGATGTTTCATTCTCCATTTTGAATTTTTCTGAAGAATATGTTAAATATTACTTTAAAGATGATCGATATTCAAAATTTAATTTAATAATTAATTAGAGATTTTTTTTTGATTAACCTGAATATCCAACCCGCTATGCGAGCCGACTAATCCCAGGACGACCATCTGCTTTGCAGATAGTCTGGAATCACCGCATTTAATCCTCCGTGGCCACAATGAGATTTTTATTTCTTCTTGAATATGAACCTGAGACCTCCTGGTACTTTTGACCATTGTAATCAAACTTAAACCAATCAAACACCACCGTTACGGTTACTAAAGATTATTTTAGTGTTATATATGAAAACGGATGTTGCTTTTGGAGTGTTGTTAGCTATAACTACTTCAAATAATAATTTTCTAGTTTTGTTCACTGTCAGTGATGACTACACAAACTTTAATTTATAATTGAATTTTTTTATTAATTTATTACGGAATATTTGGGACAAAACTTATGCCAATATTAAACCAAACAACCACATAATTGTCGTATTAGACGTTTAATTTTAAGCCTTTTTTTTGTTTCTTTGTATTTTAATACTAATAAAAAATTTAAAAAGAAAAAAATATTCATCATATTTATCATTAAACTTTGGCCTAAGATTAATTAGTTCCTTTTTTTATGGTATTTTATTAACTTTTCATCATTTGACTAAAAAAAACCAAACATTTAACATATTCGAAAGCGTCACGAATTTAGCGACTAGTTATTGATGTCGATTGCACAAATTTAATAATCGATCAAACTCAAGAAACAAAATAAATTGAATTATTTGAAACAAAAACATATTTTGAATATTTATATTAATTATGTATTTCATGTATGTAATAAAGAGCAATTTTAAAATAAAGTTTTATTAGATAATATAAACGTTATATTTAATATAAAGCTATCGTGATTTTTATGGGGAAAAAAAATACTGAAACGATGTTTTGGTTGAATATTTTATGTTAAATCCAAATATTATCTAAGGTAGAATGTAATAAAACGTTATTGCAAATCAAAGTTATACATAGTATTTGATGAAGTAAGAGGTGATGTTGATGTCTGAAATCTGAATCAATTCACACTGTTTGTTTTTGTAGATTGATAAACGTCTAAATTTGTTTATTTTACCCATTAAAAAAATTATGTTGTTGAATTTGTAAATAAAATTTATATAATTTCACATATTTATTTATTTATTATCATTACAAAATTTACATTTAAATTATATAAATTAGCATTTAGTTAAACGAAAATATGTCATTAATGTATTTAACATATTTAAATCATATTAAAATACATAATTGAGAGACGTGATGATTGATTTTGTAAGGATTAATTGAGAGAAATGATCGATTAAGGTTAATGAATTGATAAACGTCGTTGTTGAGGGTTTGAAAAACAATAAGAGACAAATAAGAGGTTAGTTTATATCTTACCAAATAAGAGACCAATAAGACAAGCACCTCTGAAGATTGAAAAAAAACAAA